GCCGTCGCCCTTGCGCCCCTGTGCCTCGCAGCGAGGCACAATCAAATTTGGGCGGCCGGCCGCTTGAGCCGACGCGGCCGCGGGCGCACGCTCGCTTCCACTCCTTACGTCCCTCAGCTCGCTTTATAGTAAAGAGAGGACGGATGGAATGGGGGAGGGAGAAGGATGAAGCACGAGAGAGATAAAAGCGCGAGTCCTGCGTGTGAAGTGGGGAGGTCTCAAACTATGACACGATTCCTACATAAATCGTGAGACAGGCCAGAACGAGAGCGTGACTCAAGAATGTCGAGGGCACGGCGTCTGAACAAATTGCCAGGAAGTCCCACGCAAGAGCGCTATTCCTGCATAAACTGTGAAGGGTCCCGCGCGGAACGCGATTTTGGAATACAGGAAGTATCAGGCGGTAGCCGCTGTTATTGTAAACGGGGGCATGGGGCCCAATCTGAAGCCCAAGATTTCCCCTTGAAGAAAAACAGATGCGACCCCCAGGAAGAATGCGGGGGAAAAAAAACAACGCAGATAAACGCCAGCGGGTCAACCATGATTACCATGATTTATCCAATAGCAATGAGAACTCAAAACGGACCAACCATGACTACCATGACTATCCAATAGCAATGAGAACTCAAAAAGAAGAAGACGAATACAAATAATCATCATCATACGAATTCAGGGGACATGAGACCCGGGACGGCATCATGGCGCCATGAGTTCCAACCCCCCTCGTCATCACACCCCTCCCAGCCGCCCCCGAGAAGCACGAAGCGCGGTTGTTTTTCTGCCCATGCGGGGTGGCCTGGGAGATGGGAAACGGGGCCTGGGGTGCTCCCTTCCATGTTCCATGCGTCCCGCTTGCACGGTGTACGATCCGATATGCAGGTGCTACCAAAGTATGACTACACACGTATAGTGATGAGTGGTAGTATTGGTAGTGTTGTGAGTCCCCTCCTCCTCTTTTTTATTCGACCGTCCCAAACCGACAGCCTTAAAACTAACTCCCCCGTGTCGTACCACCAGGCGTGTCTGCAGGCGGGGGGGCGGGCGCTTCGATTGAAACTTCCTTACAACTCGCAAGGTCATAGTGTCTAACTGCTGGCCAGATACAGATTCTCATCATGCGCATCTCGCCTTCACGCCACGCTCCTTCGTCTCAAAACGTCCAACGCTTACACGGATGGAGGACGGTACGTCTTCGAAATGTGGATATCGCCTTTGCGCCGCGCCCTTTCACCTGAAAGCTGCCAACAGTTGTAGATGGAGGCAGGTAGCTGTTGGTTGTTGGGCTCTCGCCTGGGCCGTCCACTGAGCTTTCGCAAAGAGCAAACGGGTCGAGGGCGTGCCCGTTTCAAATGGAGCCCGTGCCTAAGACTAAGACATGCTGCACGAATATAGGCTAAGCATTGTGCAGCAGCTACACAGATACCAGTTCCTTTTCAAAGCGAGAAGGTCGGTGGGCACTTCCTCGAGCTGGAATGCCTAACATGGTCGCAGCCCGTGAAGCTCGAAGAATGGAGGGCGCATCCTTTCAAAATGGAGCTCCCGTCTTAAATTCTGTCCCACGGGGCGCTCGTCATTCAACGGCAGCTTCACGCAGTGAAACACATCTGTGCAGGGACATGGGACGTGTATTGAAACAGCGTTTATACGTCCTGGTTTTGCGTTGGTCATCCTGCTCCTCCTCCTCCGTTTCCTCTTCGTCCATCGCCTCCATGTCCTCCTCTTCCTCCTCCTCGTCCTCCTCCTATTCCTGCTCCTCCTCCTCCTTCTCCGCGTCGTCTCCGTCCTAGTCCTCGTCATCGCCCTCGTCCTCGTCCTCTTCCTCCTCTACCCCCTCCTCCCCTTCCCCCTCCTCCTCCTGCTCTTCCTCTTCCTCCTCCTCCTCCTCCCCACCCTCGTATGTATATATATATATGTGTTTATATATATATATATATATGTATATATCCTCCTCCTCCTCCTCCTCCTCATCCTCCTCCTCCTCCTCCTCCTCCTCCTCCTCCTCCTCCTCCCCCTCGTCATCCTCCTCCCACCCCCCCTGTCAACGATTCCTCCCCAGCTTGTCCATTTTTTCGGACGACCATCCCCGCCCCTGGGATCAGAGGGGAATGAGCGGTGAAAGGGGGCGATGGAGCGAGGGAGCGGAGAAGAAGGAGTGAGAGGAACGGAGGGAGGGACGGCACGGGAGCACAGGGATCTGCAAGACGAGGAAAGAGCAGGAGGAGGCACGCGCGCGGAGGGTACCGCATGAAGAAATACAGAACAACGAGCATGCAGCTCCCCATCACCTCGGAAATCGCCACGGAAAGACCAATGTTCCTGGTTGGCTCCCCCGTAGCGGGCCTGCGACGCCTGCTACTTCGCGATGAACATGAATACGGTTGCAGATGGGTGTGAAACCGTCAGGGCGGGAGTCGTTTTGAGTATGGGTGAACCTGAACCTCGGTGAATCCGAGCGCGCGCAAGCCTGAGTGTAACTGTGCGTCAGCGCAGGTGAACATGAGTATGGGCGAATCGGAATGTGAACGACTCTAGATATGAATGTGTATAAGCTCGAATGTTTCTGCAAAGGGGTGAGTCTGACTGTAGGTGAGATGCGACTGGGGGAGGGATCGGGCTGGACGCGAGGAGGAGGATGTGGCAGCACGCAGATAACAATAGCAGCATACCTCAGATATGGAAAGCAATCGTCACATTCTTTGGACGTGGCAAACAATATGCACGACAGCCCGCGTTGAATCTTGTTCGGGTTCATCGGGGGCAGATTCGGACGTCCTCGGGACTTCATGAGCGGTTGTCTCTGCCAGCAGCGTAGCGCTTACGAAAAAGCTCGAGTCTACGCAATGAGGCTCGAGGAGGAGGGGAGGCGGCAGCGGGTTCAAATGACGATGGCACTGTTGCCTTGGCGCTCGATGCGCCACGCGGCGTCATGGCCTCCTTCCACCGCGCGAAACGGGCCTCCCACGCCGCGCCACTGCGGGGGCGACGGCGGAGACCTGCCGAGCACGGGGTGGGTGGTGGACCCTGCTGGGCCCCCAAAGGGCGGCCCGGCTTGGCCCCCCAAAAAATAGGACCCCCAGTGGGGTGGCGGGAGGGGGAGAGAGAAAAAGAGAGAGAGATAGAGCAGAGGCAAGAGGAAAGAAGCAAGAGGCAAGTGGCAACGGGTAAGAGCAAGTGAGAGGGAGCCCGCATATCTCTGAAGGCTGATAATGCCTAGCGGTTACATCAAAAAGCTAGCACGAACGGAACAACTCGCACCTACACAGTGAGGCTCGAGGAGGAGGGGAGGCGGCAGCGGTGTCAGATGAAGATGGCCATACTGTCATGCCACAGAATGCGCCATGCTGCGTCATAGATTCCGTCCACCACGCGAAGCGGGCCTCCGCCGCCCCTTTCAGCAAATCGTCGTGGATCTCCACGGCGACGTCTGAGGGCAGTCACGCGCTGCAGCGCCCCCGGCCTCTGGCGAGGCAACACTGCACCACGTGCAAAGGGAGGCTGCGAGGGCTGGCACCAGCATCGAATTCCTGATGCCACTGATGTCCCGCAGCTGGCCGCACCGACGCCTCCTGACGCCTGGCGCGGCGGCGCCGGCGCCTGCTGAGCCAACGGGCGCCTGGCGCGTGCGCGTGCGAAGCGTTTGGGGCAGGCCACGGCAATGTCCTCGCGCTTGGCTGGGCCGCTCCTCCGATGTAGCGCATCCCCAGCTGGCGGCTGCGTGCTCGCCGTCGCCCGCCGGGCGCAGGCGCCTGCGGCCTGGCCGTTGGCTTGCCTAGCCGCCTGGTCAGGCGCAAGCGCCTTCCTGAGGCGTGGTGCCAACCCCGCAGAGGGCCCGGACATTTGGGCCTGCTGGGCGTATGCGCCCCTTCTCCTTGACGGCGGAGGCGACCCCGTAAGGGGCCCAGGTATTGGAATTTAGGCCGCCCGCCTGGCTTCGTCGCCGCGCCTGAAACCCTTCGTCGCGTGGCCGTACCTCGTTCCGTTGTAGTGCACAGGCCCCTGGACGCCCGCGTCGAGGAAAAGCTTCCCCGGGCGCCTCCCACGCCGCCAGGCTGCCTCCCTGGGCTCCTCGTCCTCTGTGATCCTCCGCCTGCCGCCTGTCTCGACAGTCCGGCTGCGGTGCCTCCCCAGGAGGTCGCACGCTCCTCCGATGGCCACCGCCATCGCCAGGCCCAGTGGGGCGCCGGGAGGAGGAGGGGCAAAAAGAAAACGGTAGGGAGGGACCAAGAAAGGAAGGGGGAGGAGGCTCCAGGAATCACCCTCCAGCAACCTCGAGACTTCCTCTGGCCCCCAGACCTCCAGAAGGACGTCCATAGGCCCCCGAGGGGTCCAAAACAAGGCCCCAGAGGCTCCAGAGAGGTCCCCATGAGACTTTTAAGCGAACTCCTGGGCACCTCGGAGAGAATCCCAAAACACCCAAAGAGGCAAAGAACCAACCGTGCAACGCTACAACCGTTCCACGCCACTGAATTGGCACGCGGCTTCCGCGAGCGCGGTGGCGAATGTCCGGGGCAATCAGACTGGGCAGCTTTGAAGCATCCAGGCAGTCTCCTAGAACTCTGGTGACTGGGAAAGTAAGTGGAAGAAGGTCAGACATTAGAAGGGGCCTGAAACACGCCCGCGTGGATATTGTTCTACAGGGGCGGAAAATAGATCCCCCTGTAGGTGACAAGTTCGGGCGGTCAGCGAGCAGCGACAGCAGAGACAACACAAGTGAACGTGCAAGAAACACATAAGATGGCGATCAAGAGCATCAAACGCAACAGTAGGATCACTAACTTACCTCAACTAACATAGTAGGATCACTGGATAGTGTGTCTGCCAGGAAACTACCATGAAACACATTAACCTACAAGCCAAATGTCAACAAGTTAAAGGCATGGGAATGTACAAAAAGCACCGATCATCAAATGTCAATGTAGAAATAATGGGCATTCTATCACATGGGGCTGCCAAGAAACTCTGCCCATGGATCATACAAACAAGAACATGGAACGCGTGATGTTCCCTAAAAACACGGAGCATGACCATGTATAAACGCCCGACCACAAGAGCATGGCCATGTATAAACGTCCGACCACACTCACAAAGTATCGACCCCATAGAACAGCCCCCACCGCTAGGACGTAGTACCCCGATAACACCCGAGGGCGGCCCGGAAATAAAAACAAGTGAAATGTGCTGAAGGGCAATATATGCTGCTATCGTGTGGTCGAGGTTAATTGGGGCGTCCTTACAGGTGGGGGGGGGGGCCTGCGGCTCAGTAGGAACAGCAGTGTGCGACTGGAGATAAGAATCTGCACACCTTCTGGGGGCACGGAGTGGCGAATACCATCTCCTGCGCGGTGCCCAGACATCTGACGTCGTGATTTTGCGCAACGCTGCTCCCCAAAGGTACGGGCAATTTAATCCGGAGTCGTTCCTGGGGATTGGGGTCTGGCAAGGACCCCCGAAGGCCGAAAACTACAAACGAACATGTCTTGATTGCTCATGACGCGGAAGCGCATGCGTGTGTTAGGGGGAGGGGCGGCGGAAGGGACAGGGGCAAGGACGGAGGGGGGGCGGAGGGGGGAGGGCGAGAAAAGGGGCTCGATAACTGGCTATATTAGGGGGCAAACAAACCTACCTCGTTTTTGACCACCCTCGCTTCCAAGAGATACCAAGCGATGCCCAACTACGGCATGTACTGGTCAGGCCGCTTGACGAGGAGGCGTATGGTATGACTTGGTTTTGCCTGGAAGCGAAAGCGGGGTAGGTAATTCACGCTCTGATATATCTAATCCCACCAGCCCTCTGGGCGTAGGTGGGCTAATGATGCTTGTCCCTTCTCTTCCAAACCCCTCCTCGTCGGGGAGGTGGACCCTCCCCCTCCCCTCTCGGAGTTTGTTTTTTCTGTGGGGGGCCGCCAGGTGTAAGAGCTGCGCTCTTTTTGTCCCGTAAACTGTTTTACAGACGACGCCTGGCAAAGGATGGTTTTGGCAAGATGCACTGGCCTCTGCACAGAGGAATCATGGAGGCTGCGGGCTGGCCTTCGGAGCCACAAACACTACTGAGCTCTGCTGCGTCCTGTGCCAGAAGACCGATTTAGCTCAAGAAGGCAGGGGGTTCAAAGCCGAAATCGGGCACCGCTTTAGCGCCACCCCACCCCCCCTGGCGGGTTAAATTCTGAAGCGTTCGGTGAAACGGATGTGTGTCGTGTAAGACGGTTGGACAACGAATCCGCGTTCTTTGTTTCTAGTGAACTGCTTGATAGACGACGCTTGGCAAAGAATGGCTTCTGCAGGACGGATGCACGGTCCATCAACAGCACGAGCCCAAATCCCACCAACAAGCATAGTGTTGGTCTAGCCGCGCATCAACATCCATTTACGAAAGACAATTTTGTTCACAATGATTTACGAGAACATGGAGGCCAACTGGGCACAGATGGCATCGAGGTAGGCAGCCTTCTGCCCAGTACGAAACTGCACAGCCCCTTGTTCCTTGCCAGACAACTCGAGATTCGGCTGCAGGGTGATATCGCAAAGGCCAGAGCCGTGGCATTTCATGTTCAAGAACGCGGGCGACGGGCGGCAATACAGAAAATGAAACTTCGTGCGAGCCCTGAACGGGCGTCTGGCGGCGCACTGATCGACGATAGCTTCGTGAAAAAAAAGAGGTTTGTCTACGAATTTTGTCTCAAAGTTGCCAAAGCCAGCTGTTCCCCGGATTCTCTTCGCCAGTAGGGATGCCGAATTTACTAACGAGTTCCCACGCCTGCCCAGCGCGGGCCGCAAGAAGGTTGCCACGATACAGCTTAGCCTGGTCGCCTGCAGGCACATTAGGAAAGCCGAAAAGGTGAGTGCCGTCGCGCAGGCGCCTCGGCATGCGTGAGTCGGGCCCGCCGCGCCGCGCCTGCGAGAGTGTCTCGCACGGCGTGCCCATGAAAAGTGGCCTAATCTTGTCACTCACAAGCCAGCCGCGCAGCGCGGCCCAAGGGCCCGGTTGAGTAAGATCGAACTCCAGACCACGCAAGACATCCCACTCGATCCCAGCGTGCCCAGCCCAGCGGAGATGCCGCGACAGGTTGCCAGAGCCGCTGACGAGCTCGATGAAGACCCTGGAGTCGCGGCCGCGGCAACTCTTCACCGCCGCGTCGAGAACTGCCTGCGGGCGCCGTCGAGCCCGGCGGCGAGACGCTTGATGACCTGCCGCTGGCTTGCAGGGATCCTCACCCACTCGATGGCCGCGCGCCCTTGCTCGTCGCACCGGCGCGCGCTGTTGAAGGCGCGCCAATGTCCGCGCTGCT